CTTACTTTCCTAAACTCGGGTGCACATTTATGTGACCCAAATCCAAATCCAAACAAAGTTGAAATGTGTCAGAAACCACGGGTGCATTTATGTAACGTGGTTCGAGGCATATTTTGATGACGTTGTAATTTTCCTTTAAACTAATAATTAAAGCGGCTAAAAATTAAAATTTGCACATAGGTTCATATTTGTTTAAAATCGGATAATTTAAGCCGAATATGACAGTTAAGCGACCGTGCTAGAACCACGAATCTCGGGAATGTCTAATACCTTCTCCCGAGTTTATAGAATTCCTTACTTGGATTTCTGGTTCTCGGACTGTTAACAGAGTCAAATCTTCCTCGATTCGGGATTTAAACCGGTGACTTTGGACACCATTAATTATCCCAAATGGCGACTCTGAAATCTCTTAAATAATTGAATCCCGTTTCGACTGTCCTTTAATTGGAAAAACTCCCTTATATACACCTTTTTCGGGGTTGTAGTAGCCAAAAGGAGGTGTGATAACTCTGGCGACTCTGCTCGGGAACCGAACCCAGAATCTCTGGTTCAGGGTTCAAGAGTTTGAGCGTATAATAATTTTTGTATTTGGCTTTGTTTATTTTCTGATTTTATTACATGTTTGGGCTGAATGTGCTAAATGTTGCCTTTTACTGCTTTGATATTATCGGCACTGTATATAAATTGCCGTGAAACCCTTCTCTTCTCACCTCCGGGGATGTGCTCGCTGGTTGAGACTCCCTATTCTGTTAGTGCCATACCTGAAAATAAGAAAGAGGCTCGGATAAGTTACAAAGCCGGATGGCCTTTTGGTTTCCGATACGTAGCCCCCTCCTCGACTCGAGTCGTCCGCTCGAGTGCACAGTCTAGACCCTATACCAAGGTTTTAAACCTAGAATAACTCAACCACATGCCGGAGCCCTAGTAGGAACGCTTATTTGCATCATGTATTTTGACTTAGGGGACTCAACACAAGGGTTTGGTCCGTCTAGGACAAGTGTACCTAAAAATGGACCATTCTGATGCATTTTGCGTGCTACTTGTGCATTTATTCCAAACTTGCATGCTGACCGGCTTATGAATATTGGGATAAAGTTGAGAAAGAAGTAGCGGTATAAGGGTAAAGAGAGTTAATTGCCCGCTTTGAAAACCAACGTCCAAATAACACCGAAACTCTGCCGAATTTCTGGGAAAATTAAAAAAAAAGTGAAAAGGGTTTATCTTCAAAAATAGTTTGTTTTACTTGCCAATGAAAAAAAGAAGAAAGAGAAAAAAATAGTCTTGTTTGCAAGAATAGTTTGTTTTACAAAATAGCTTATTTATTTGCCTATGAAATATAAAAAAAGGAAAAAAGAGTCTTGTTTTCAAAATAGTTTATTTTAAAAATAGCTTATTTATTCGCCAATGAAAAGAAAAGAATATTGTTTTCAAAAGAATAGTTCGTTTTATTTGCCCGAACTACGCCAGTTTGATTCTCACATGGTGTGAGATACGTAGGCAACCCCCATCAGGCCCAACTTCATCTTACCAACAGAACTAGGTTTTGTTTGTGAAATTAGCCGATTGCCTCCAAAAAGGCGCCGGAAGGATGTTTTGCAAAAACAGTCGCCTTAGGCCGGTAGTAGGCTCAACCTTAAAATCTTCCTCCGAAAGTGCGAAAAGGCCGTACTTGCAATGCCGGGATTTAATCTTTGAAATAAACATTTGAAAAATCAATTTTGTTTTTGAGTCCAATAAATTTTGATTTTTACTTAATCATACTAATAAATGTTGCAGAATGAGCACGAATCAGCATTTGCCAATAACATTCATGAACAAAATTCCCGTGGAGCTACACATGTGGTGGAATGACCTAGGTGAGGTGGGGCAAAACAGGGTCAACGCGCATTTGAGAGGACTTACCGGGCTCTTAAAGATTAACCCGAGGGGAGACATCACAAAGGAATTAATCACATTCTGGGACTCGGCTCAAAATGTATTCCATTTCTTGGATTTCGAACTCACGCCGACCTTGGAGGAAATAACAAGATATATTGGGGCCCCTAGGATCCCCCTGAGGCATCCGTACTTGATTGCGCCAAGGGCCATCGCCGTACACAAATTCTTGGACTCTTTAAAGATCAGCAGGAAGGTTCACAACCCAGACCTATCAGCTGGCTTTTGTACCCCGCAGTTTATATATCAGATGTATGGGCACATAGGGGGATTTAATGACCCGAAAAACCATATTTGTAGCTAAGGGAATCAACTCAAATGGCAGGAACACCAGTGTTTCACATTCATGGTATTCTTCTTGGGTCATTTGGTGTTTTCGCGGAAGAACGGAAATATTGACATACGGATAGCAGGGGTTGTCAGCACTTTAATAACTCAAGCCAAGAGCACCCTCGCTCCCATGATATTATCCGAAATCTTCTGTGCTCTCACTGCCTGTAAAGCAGGAGGAGACTTCTTCGAAGGATGTAACCTGTTGTTACAAATATGGATGATCGAACACTTGTGCCATCGGCCTCAATTCATGAATTATGGGTCGTCAACAAAGAGTTGCATAGAGGAATTCTATAACAGGGTTGATGGGTTGAGATTACCCGAGGGTGCTACAGAATGGGTGTCACGTTTTTGGGCTGTCACTGCAAACCAAATAGAGTGGACGTTTGGGTGGCTCCCCATGAATGAAATCGTGTATATACCAGCCACCGGACCTCATTTCCTTCTAATGGGTCTCCGAAGTATCCAACCCTATGCTCCGTATAAAGTGCTAAGACAATTAGGGAGGTGCCAAATGATTCCTAGGGACGAGGATATTAGTCGCCACGTGATCGAGATTAGTCCTAATGGTCAATTTCCCGAAGCCGTCGTCCGGCAAATTTGGAGCGAATGTCAATACTTGACGGCGGGCACTCGAGTACGCGACATATCTAAAAGCGAGGTTGCACCAAGGTACTTTGCTTGGTACAAGAAAGAAATAGAGTTTGGAAGACTGGCTAAGAGGCCATACCTCCAAGAATTTGCTGAAACGTCACAAAAACAATGGAACTGGCTAGCCAAGGAAAACGAGTACAGGGCCATGATAGGAAAATTGGAAAAACGAGTCAAAGATCTTCAATTTGAAAATGGTTTGCAAGCTGCTACAGATGAGGGGGAAAAGAAAAGATTAACCAAAGAAAACGAAGCGTTGCGAGCCCAAATCCAGAAAATGAAAACAGCCGCGGAAAATCCCCAGGAGCGCGAAGGATGAATAGCTCATAGACAATTTAAGCCGAGAGAGAACATTGTTATGCAGCAATAGCACGGTTGGAGATGGATTTGCGGCAATTCCAAGAACTAAATCGGGTAGCCGAACGAACTCTGGAGGCAAGGGCCGAACAAATTGGGCGACTATTGCAAGAAAAGGGTACTATAAGGGAGAGAGTACGAATGATCACAGACTACATCACCACAAAGTGCAATCACTGCGAGTATATGACAAAATCCATGTTCTTCGCCACCGCCATGACCTTTGTTCATCAAGTAATGGAAGACCTCCATCACCTCCAAGGAGATTTAGCACGCAAGCCTGCAGCAAGACCGAACGATGCCTAGCGGGTCCCAGGAGCAATCGAAGCCCTAATGTATTCATGATTTCTTGAGATTGTATTTTCCTTAAAGTCTTTCAGTTTGTCTTGGAGTCCGTATTTTCTTTTGAGCTAGGTTAGTTGTTCTTCGAGTCTGTAATTCGTCTTTCATCAGAGTTTGTTAGTTTCTTGTTTAAATCTGTCAGTTTTTTGAGTCCTTGTAACTAAAGTTTGTTATTATGAAAATGGAAAATTCCAAAATATTTTATGCTTCACTTTTTATTTGCAGAACTACGCTCGGTCTGATTCATACGGGGTCATGATACGTAGGCAATCTACATAGGATTCGACCATAACCGAATAAAGAAAAAGAAAAAGAGAAAAGAGACGAAAGGGAAAGAATAGGAGAGAAAAGCAGAGGAAAAGCAAAGGAACAAACAAGAAAACAAAATAGGAGAGAGCAAGAGAATAAAGCCAAAAAAAGGCATTGCAAATGAAGAAAATGAAAGCCGGGATGACACAAGCAACTCACGCATGTAGTGACCAACTATTGTTTAGGTGCATTCACACCCAATATGTGGCCGCATACATGTCAAAACCTAACAATTAACAAGTTTCTGGTGTTTGCATTCAGACTAGACATGTGGTTAGTACTTGTGGCATTCTGGCAACCCACTCCTACAGCGAGCGGTCTAAGAGCAAGCAAGTCATGACCAATCAGGAAACCGATATCAGCATTATTGACCCCTCGAAAGAAGTAGAGGAATTGGACGTTAATGCCATGAAGGAGGAAATGTACAAACTGAAACACCAAATGGCCGAAATGTACCAGGCATGGGCAAGAGGACAGCCACCCCAACCTATCCTGCTAACCCAACCTTCATTCCACCGCTGGCCCAAGCTCATGGCCAATCCACCACTGATCCACCCTCAAGTTTTCCTATCTACTCGCAGCACCCGAGTACGAGCTCTCAACCACCACCAGCTCCACTACCCAAAGCCGCTCCTCATCCCTCTCCACCAATTGCTCCCATTTATGTGGCACCTCCTCCTCCCGTGCTCCATAGATCGTCAAGTGAGCCCTTTCTTCAAGCTTACGACAACCAATACTATCTACCAGAACCTGCTTACAAGGCCCATGAACCTTACTCCTATGCTCCTCGTCTCGAAATCCCAGCGGGAGTTGAAAAGCCAATCAAAAGTCCTGAGCAGGAGGAGGTGCTCAGAAATGTCAGAAGTTTAGAACAATCGTTCAGGGATATGCGAGGGTTAGGTGGCCAGGTGAGCGTGGCGTTCAAGGACCTTTGTCTATTTCCAGACGTGCAGTTGCCTCCGGCTTTCAAGGTGCCTAAATTTGACTTATATGATGGACATGGCGATCCGGTCGCGCATCTAAGGGGGTTTTGTAGCAAAATGAGATGAGCAGAGGGAAAAGATGAAATGCTAATGGCGTACTTTAGCCAGAGTTTAAGTGGGTCGGCACTGGAGTGGTATACTCGGCAGGATCACAATCGGTGGTACATTTGGGATGACCTGGCACAAGCGTTTGCTTGTCACTTTCAATATAATCTCGAAATTGTCCTGGATCGACTATCTTTCAATAAACTGGAGAAGAGACACAACAAGAGTTTCAGGGAATACGGTTTCCGGTGGAAAGAACAAGCAGCCAGAGTTGATCCTCCAATGAAGGAGAGTGAGATGGTTGACTATTTCCTACAGGCTTTGGAACCTACCTATTTTGGGCATTTGGTGTCAACAGTAGGTAAATCTTTCAACGAAGTAGTTAAAATGGGGAGTATGGTCGAGGAAGGCCTCAAATCCAACAAGATCATAAGCTACTATGTGATCAAGGAAACCATTCAGGCCATCAAGGGTGGAGTCGGGGGAACATTTGGAAAGAAGAAAAAGGAGGAAGTAGCAACAGTTGAGTCGGGAACTTGGTTCAAGCCTCGAGCCCCATCTCATTACTTCCAACCCCGTCCTCACCGCCAAACATACCCACACCGTCCATACGGCCCAACACAACATTACTATCTACAGTTAGAACCTCACTTCTCAGTCCATCACGCACAAGCATATACCCAACCTACCGCCCACGCACAATGGCGTGCGCCAACCCCACAAATACCTACCCAACTCCAGAAAATCATTACCCACCTCCAAGAGCCTACCAACAACCCCTAAAACCCGCCTTCCGAGCCAATCCGGTCTTGAGAAATGAAAGAGTACAGAAGAAGTAGACTTTCACCCCATTGGGAGAATCCTATACTAGTTTGTTCCACCGGCTGCGACAACTGGATAAGTTGAGATCAATCGAAGCGAAGTTGCCAAACCCTCTCCCAAAGAATCTAGATTATTCTGTTAGCTGTGAATACTGTTCTGGTGCACCGGGGCATGATACCGAAAAGTGTTGGCATTTAAAGAATGCTATCCAGGAACTTATTGACTCCCACCGGATTGAAGTGCAGATTCCAGAGGCACCCAACATTAACCAAAACCCACAGTCGGCCCATCATGAGACCAACATGATTGAGATCTAGAGAAAGGGGGAGAGCCTAAAAAGCCCTCACAAACGGTAATGATGATCAAATCTAGTGAAGTTAAGCCAACTGAGAATATGAGCAGTGAGAAGTCAGTGATCAAGACAAAAGGAAGAAACAAAAAACCTGTTGTAGTCCAAGGGAGCTCGTCATGCACGGTTGCACCAAAACAGGAACAGGCAAAACTGATAGTACACGGGGCAGCTAGAGAACCCGTCGTAGTTGTGGAAGGTGCTCGCATAGAGCCTGTCATTGTAAAACCAGTAATCCAGCCACCAGTCGTCAATAGCAAAGCCGTTCCTTGGAGATATGAACAAGCAATAGTAATGTACAAAGGGAAGGAAGTTAGGGGGGAAGTTTGTGAGGCCCAGGGTTTAACTCGGTCAGGGAGATACTTCGCTCTTGAGGAATTGAGGAAAAGCAGGATCTCTAAGGATAACCCAGAATCGGTGAAGAAATTTGAATAGGAAGAAGAGGCAGAAGAATTCCTGAAGAAAATGAAAATGCAGGACTACTCCATCATAGAGCAATTGAGGAAGACACCAGCTCAGATCTCCTTATTGTCCTTACTAATCCATTCAGATGAACACCGCCGGGCGCTGATGAAGATTTTGAATGAAGCCACGTGCCTGACAAGATAACAGTGAATCACTTGGAGAAGATTCCAAATAAGATATTCGAGGTAAATCGGGTCACTTTCTCTGACGATGAACTGCCCATGGGGCACAAAGCACAATTGGGCACTTTATTTGACTGTGAAGTGTGAAGATGCTGTGGTCACCCGAGTTCTAGTTGACAACGGGTATAGTGCAAATATTTGTTCGCTCTCCACATTGATCAAGCTGAAGGTGGAGAATGAAAGGGTCCACAAGAATAACATTTGTGCTCGGGGGTTTGATGGCGGAGGCAAAGACTCAGTAGGGGATATAGTGCTGGAGGTGACAATAGGACCCGTTGAGTTCACCATGGAATTTCAGGTGTTGGACGTGGTAGTTTCTTATAACCTATTGTTGGGCAGGCCCTAGATTCACGCAGCCAAGGCAGTGCCATCTACTTTGCACCAGATGGTCAAATTTGAATGGGACAGGCAAGAGATTGTGGTGCACGGTGAGGATAATCAGTGTGTTTTAGGTGATGCTATCGTACCTTTTATTGAATCTGAAGACAGCAAAGGGCCATGGGTCTACCAGGTATTCAATACGGTATCAGTTGAGAAGATCCCGGAAGGTGAGGTTGTCACAACTCCAAAGATAGCAGCCGCGTCAGTCATGGTGGCTTCAGAAATGTTGAAGAATGGTTTCATGCCCAGCAAGGGATTGGGTGCTTCTCTACAAGGCATCGTGCAACCAGTATCTCTCCCCAAAATTTTGGATACTTTTGGTCTAGGATTCAAGCCTACAACTGCGGACATAAGGCGAGCCAGAAAGTTAAAGTAGAGGGCCTGGGCCTTCCCAAAGCCTATCCCAAGGTTGTCCAAATCATTCGTCAAGCTCAGTACTAGCAAGTGCCCAGTGCCAAAGATTCCCAGCTCGCCGATCGACGCGGATGGGTATTTGGATAAGGGACTATAAAAGCTGTTCAATGAGGTAAATATGGTCGAGGCTGGAGAAAGATCGAGCAGGGCAGATGTGCAATTTGTGGGAGCATGCGCAAAAGTCAATGACTGGGAAGCCACTCCTCTTCCCACCAGAGGAAGTTGTGGTAGTCGGCTTTGATTTTTCTTTCAATCTAGTTTGGATTAGCTTAAGAGTTGTTAATTCAGTTGTTATTTCCGTCCGTTTGGATGTGTAAACTCTATTATCTTTTGATTCCAATGAAATGCAATTTCCTTTCCGGCAATGCTGATAGTTCTCATTTTTCTTTACTTCTTTTTCTTTTTCTCTTTTGTACAGTTATTTTATGCTGGTTCCAATGATCTGACATGCATAAGAACTCTTCAGCCCAGTCTTAAAAAATCGGTCTAGTTCGGAAATAATAATTCAAGAAATAGAGCATGAGGATGAGCCGGAGTACGACGAGGAAGGAGCATGGGATGAAATTAGTAAAGCGTTGAGCCAATTTGAGATAAAACCCAAACCGAACCTGAGTGATACAGAGGCAGTCAATCTAGGGAGCTCGGATAACATGCCCGGATTGAGCACGGACTTGGTAGATCATAAATTGCCCACCGACCCAGCCTGTCTTCCCATCAAACAAAAGTTGAAAAGGTTTAAAACTGATGTAGGCGTGAAAATCAAAGAGGAAGTGACCAAGCAGTTTGAGGCAAAAGTTATCCGAGTCACACGATATCCCACCTGGTTAGCAAATGTTGTGTCCGTACCAAAGAAGGATGGTAAAACCAGGGTGCGTGTCAATTATCGTGACCTCAATAAAGCAAGTCTGAAGGACAACTTCCCCCTGCCGAACATTCATCTATTGATTGACAACTGTGCGAAGCATGAGATCGGGATGTTCATGGATTGTTACGTAGGTTATCACCAGATCTTAATGGATGAAGAAGATGCGGAGAAAACAGCATTCATCACGCCATGAGGGACATATTGCTATAAGGTCATGCCTTTTGGTTTGAAGAATGTCGGGGCGACATACATGAGGGCAATGACAACCATTTTCACGATATGATACATAAAGAAATTGAGGTCTATGTGGATGATGTGACTGTGAAGTACAGAAAGCAATCCGATCATGTTAAAGATCTGAGGAAATTCTTCCAGAGGCTTCGCATGTATGACCTCAAACTCAACCCGGCAAAATGCATATTTGGGGTCCCTCAGGGAACTTTCTAGGGTTCATAGTCAGTCGACGAGGCATTGAACTAGACCCATCAAAGATCAAAGCTATACAGGAGCTACCGCCACCGAGAAATAAAACAGAAGTGATGAGTCTATTGGAAAGATTGAATTACATCAGTTGGTTCATTGCGCAGCTCATAACCATCTGCGAGCCCATCTTTAAGCTATTGAAAATGGATGTTGCGGTGAAATGGATGGGAGAGTGCCAAGAGGCTTTTGATAAGATAAAGAAATATTTGTCGAACCTACCGGTATTGGTCCCGCCAGAACCAGGAAGCCCCTTGATCTTATATTTGACAGTCTTGGACAACTCATTTGGAAGTGTGTTGGGTCAACACGACGTCACCAGGAGGAAAGAACAGGCCATATACTACCTCAGCAAGAAATTCACGGCCTATGAGGTTAAGTATACTCATCTTGAAAGGACATGTTGTGCCTTGACGTGGGTAGCCAAGAAGTTAAAGCATTACTTGTCCTCATAGAGCTGTCATACCTCATTTTTACACACCTACCCTGACGAAGGATAGTATATAAGGGAGTTTTTTCCACTTTAAGTGACATTATTCGAAATGAGATTAATTATTCATTTTTATTCAGAGTCGCCATTTGAGATAATTTATTTGGTGTCCCAAGTCACCGGTTTATTATAAATCCCAAATCGAGAAAAAATTGACTTTCCTTTTGAAGTCTGCGAACCAGAAATTCTAAATAAGGAATTCTATTAACCCGAGGGAAGGTGTTAGGCACCCCCGGATTCCGTGGTTCTAGCACGGTCGCTTAAACTATCATATTTGTCTAATTATCTGATTTTTAATACATGTTTTAGCCTATGGTGTAATTTTAAACTTTAACCGCTTTATTTTATTATTTTTTTAAGAAAAATTGCAACGTTATTTAAAATACGTCTCGAACCACGTCACATAAATGCACCCGCGATTCTTGACATATTTTATATAATATTGTTGAGATTAGGATTTTGGCCACATAAATGTGCACCCGATTTTAGGAAAGTAATATTATTAAAATAACGCGTCTGAAGGAACTACGCGTTTTTAACTTTGCGAGGGCCATGAAAAATTTGCCAAATGGCATGCCTCGAATTCTAAGAATTTAGATATTCAAGATTAACTAAATGAGGGCCGTGCATTGTTATTGAAATAAAGGAGCTTATTGACGTGCATTCACATCTCCTCATACCAAATTATGAAATGAATGAAACTCCCGCTCCGACCGCCCGACGAGTCATCTACTTAAAAGGACCCTCCCCGCAGTCCGCCCTTCCTTGAATTATTCGGTCATCAACTGCATGAATCGCTATAACGCGACGATGGCTATTGGAACCTTCATAATATTCAATAATCAAATGAAAATATAGAACCTCAAGATGACAAGCTGCTGGAAGGTTTACTATTACAAATTATCATACTCCACAGAATATTCATAAAGATCGAGTGTTACATAAAAAAAACTACGTACATATTGTTTAAGACTTAACATGAAAACCCACTAACTAAAGAAATAAATCAAATTAAATTAATTTCATGAATCAGTAACTTAGCCATATAAGCACAAACTTATCTCCGAAAATCTTGGTACAAATTTCACCATCTAATGTGGATTATTTAAAATCCCCAAACTCAGGCGAGAAAAGCACTAAGAAACAGGACACCCAATTCATCAAATGATCTTAGAATAACAAAAATCAATCAGAAAATTCAACTAACCCATTAAGTACTAAAAATCAATAATCCCTAATATAAGGAAAATAGCAACTCAAATTAACATAGCATCAAACTGCCAAATAGCTCACGGATGGGAATAATTCGAATGTTCCATTTTAAATCTCAAGAAATGCTCAAATTCATGAACTAACATAATGACATAAGTATAAGGAACATACCTTCTTAAGCGAATTATTCGATTAATGGAACTCAGAGTAATATCTATGTTCAGCCGAAAAAAAGCAACATCAAAATTTGTCCTAAAAATTGCAGCGACCAGAGGTGCCAACGGGAACAGAACCTCGTACAGAGCCTTGCGCCGACAGAAGAAACAACGGTATCACAGCAATTCAAGATATGACAATTGAATGAATCTTAATTGTGGAACCATGGAAATCAACAGCTTTGGCTTCCAACTCTAAATCCTAAAGGGAAATGGGGTTTTTGCGTTGAGTACAAGCATTTGTTTTATTACCAACTCCAGTGG